AGTCCGCCGGAGGAGGTACCGCTCTGAGCCCGGCAGTGTGTTTAGTCAAATCACAGCACCACAGGGGGCTCCTCTCCTCTCTCACACTCTGGAAAAGCCTGCCCACCGCTTCTAAAGAGTGCTGTAAATTTAAAAAGAAGTGTCCTCAATGGCTCACACACATACACACTCCCCTGACAGATTCACACAGAGGAGGGGGCCGCTGGTCCAGCCCGGCTGCAGCCAGAGTAAGAGTGAGTTGGAGAGGGAGGGAATTGTGAGTAGGAGTTTAGAAAAAAGCTTTAGAGGGAAGTTTTAAAAAAGGAGTAGGGGGAAAGAGAAAAAACAGAGGAGGGAAACTTCAAATACAGATTGAGTTCTGCTTGTTGTTCTTCAGTAGCAGCTCAGAGGTCCCGGGCTGGAGTGATTTGTTTATGAATGGGGTGGCAGGCAACTGGAGGTGAACTGAGACGGTCTCTACTGGCAACAGAAATCTGGACCGCATCTAACCCCTCCATAAAACAACAAACACAATCAAAAGGAAGGAGTGAGTGAGAAGCCCAAGCTGGAGAAAAAAAAGTTCTGGCAAAGCTCATGGTGGCCTGCTTTAGAAACAACATAGAAGTCTCCGTTTCTCAGGAAAATAACATCACTTACAAAGTCCCGCTGCAGGAGTCAGGTGTAATAGAGGTTAAACACATAGGGCACATTTAACTTTGATTAACCCATTTAACCCTTACATGTATTCGTCTATCTTTTTTATTTCATGTCCTTTTCTATTTATCACACAGAAACTAAACAAAGTCCTCGCCCCCCTTTCTGACTCTTCATTCAATACCTCTGTTTCATGCATTGGCACTGTCCCTAATTTCTCCCTTTCCCATGAGTGAAGGGCTTGAAATTCATAATGCAACCCTGCAGCTGACCAAGGCTTTTCTCTCTAACAAGGTGTGGGGGCCAGAACAGGGAGGGGCGCGGGCTAAATTGGACAGTAACTATGTTCTCCTCTAATTGTGAGGGTAAATCTAAAGGCCCTGCTAGCAGTAATTAGAGAGCTGGTGAAGCCCCAGTTATTAGTTAGGAGGGGAGCAACACCACGCGGGACTGTTTCACTTCAACATCAGTCTATTTCTAACTATGTCATTAACACCTTCTTGCGATATATCCACCGACTTTGCCCCATAAATCTACTTTTGTATGTTTAAGTACTTGCAATGTCAATTAAAATGTTTACAAGAGATGATAATGAAGCAATAATACATGACATTAACAATATGCAATGCAATCCTTTATCAGCTGAGATAAGGACACTATCTAAACACCCTGCAGCCCTAAAAGTGACACACTGGGTTTAAATCTCTAAAGTTAATCAAATAAAGTGAAAGTAAGAGTAAAAAAGCCGATATGTCTAACACAGTCTTTTGTTGTTACAAAAAGTGGTGGATAAACTGAACACAAGGGGGTGTCTATGGCCTTATATTTGACCGCTTGTTTATCTATACAGCTCGCCAAAGTGCCAAATCACATGATAAACCGGACTCATTCTGCTCCAACAATGCCTGGTCTATTCATCCTATCAGAAAATTTAGAGTGGTTTCTCTCACTGCTGATCTGGACTGTTTCCACAGCTGAAGTAGTGCGGGTGCAAGCACAGCAACAGGGGAAGGACCCAATTCCAGACAACGCAAGCAGACAGTAACAGTTTAGAGATTTATTTAAACGGGAACAAATATATGCTTACTGGCATGTCCAATCAGAAGTAGCTTTGCCTCCACAATGGAGCGAAGGGACAGCTAAAGTTGAGGCTTGGTGAAAATGAGTGGGAAAAGGCTGCAAATATCTGCAGGGCTGATGAGGAACGTGGGAACAGGTGAGCAGGGAAGGTCAGGTGACTGTGACAGGAGAGAAAAGTCAGAGGGCATCTGGTGGACAGGAAGAGAACAGCATTGAACGGGACTGAGAAAGTGGGATTGTGGCTGGAAAGAGAAGCAGAACGTGATACAATGACCCTGTATGCTGGCCCTGTGTTTGTGTTTTGCTGGATTTCGGATACAGCTAAAGGTTATCTCCCTGTCTGACAGCCAGTGGCCCCTGGAGGCCCCTGGGAGAGGGGGAAGGGAGCTAGAAGCAGGAAACTCTGAGGCTAAGGCCTGGACCTGGAGCTGAACTCAACACATCTCTGATAGATGAAGATGGATGAAGCCATTAAAGAACTGAAAGATAACACATTGTGCCGATAAAGGTTGTAATAGTAAGAGACTTTGAAACAGGCCTACTCCATTCAGACCCAAACAAACCTGAAACTCAGGAAACACTGGGGAGTTTACAACTGCAATAATCATCACCAAATCAATGTTCTAAGATACCCTTTATCTAAAAGTCAAATTAAAGAGCTGAATTCACAGCAAATCAAAGTAGGAGCAACTCAAATCATTGCTGAAATAATATGTCCATTATTCTACAAATAACCAATTGACAAAACAACATTTTACAATTTGATAGTAGATTGATAGAAACCTTTTTCTTCTCAAAGGTGATGCTTTAGTACCTTGTTATTATTCAGACACAATACATTTTAATAGATTGTTTTTAAGAAAAATAATGAAAAACAAATGTTGTCCTGGTGACTTTGCGTGTGAGACGCTCACCATGTAATCCCAACATCATGGTTCAAGTCCGGCCTGGGACCTCGGTGCATTTCATTCCTCTCTCTGGATCTCATTTCCTGTCAGCTCTCTACTGAACACTGTCTAATAAAATGCACCAAAAAAAACATTACTTTCAAGAGAAAAACAAAACTGTGGACTGTCAAGTTAATTTAACGTGTGCTACTTTTGTCTTACTCATCTGTGTTTTGTTGTTGTATGGAGTGTGTGGTTGCATTCAGACTATACAGACTCTGATCCAACTTCAATCACTTTCTGCAGCATTTTCCATGTTTTCTATCTCTATTTATAGGTTTAATTCAAATGTAAAAACACATTCATTGACTATCAATAGTTACTTGATTTAGTCCTGCATGCTGTCACCATAGTCATTTCTTAAATTAAAGTGTCTATGCTGTCTTTATAGAAATGTTTTGCTACTTTATTTAGTTGTTCAGTATATCATAAATAAATCATTTTTTCGTGCTGCATCTAAATGACATAATTCATGCTCCACTTTTCAATGACTGTCAAAGTAAAGCAGAATCTGGCTGGCATGCTGTAGCTGTTTGACACTTAATAAGTACTGTTTGCAAGCTTTTTTTGGAATGTAAAAGGTCTTAAAGGAAGTAAGACTAGAAGATGAAAGCCCTGGGTGTGTCTTGGCACCTACAGCTGCTAACTTTCTAACACATGTGAGCTTTTAGAAATGGTGAAAAGAAGCTACAAGGCTCTTATTAGTTCCCCCTCGATGATCTTGAATGTTGGGAAGACTAAAAGGAGTCATGGGGGAACACTTTGTATTCTGTACAGTTTAAACTAAATACACATGTAATATTCCCTACAGCAACCCCTCATTTAGAAACATATTAAAGATTAATACAGCCTAAAAAAAGCTAATGTTTTCATTTTTTGGCAGGCAAGTGCTTTAAATAATGGGTATCTTTTTGGAGCTCTAATGTTTGACGTCAGTTTTAGGTTCATGTACAGCCAAACAGGCCAGTGTTTGCATCCACAAATGCTCTAATGCATGCAATAAGTGCTTAAACCACATTCTTTATTTTTAGCCAAGTTGTTATTACTGGGCGCAATAATCCATTGCATTTCCTAATAAGTGTTTGATATTGCACTTTCCCTCATGCTCAGGCCTGTAGCACTTTTCTCTCCATTAACATGCTTCATGCTAACAGCGGGAAGTTGATGAGTGTTCTAACCAAGATACTGACATTAATCTTTGATGGATCTTTGGTAGACTCAGAGGCAGAAGGGCTCTATGTGTGAAATACATAGAGCATATTATTAATCTTATACATTTGGAACAGCAGGCCAGGTTTGTATATTTGCAGGACTTCAGATTTCTTAAACAACCTGCCTGTATTTTGCTGCCCTCATGTGGATGTTTTAAGCAGGAATGTAGTGTAAAATAAACCTACAAAACTTCATAATATCACTTAAAAAATGTTGGCAAACTTATTTGCCACATATTTGTTGTTGACTTTATAGTGCAAAGTATTGGGGAAAGTTTTATCTTCAAAGGGAACTAATGGAAAGACAAACACCTGTTCACCTCACTGACCAACCTATAGAATAATAATGTCCTAAAATCATATGTAATCTCTCATGTCAATGACACATGTTCTTTGTGAGCATTAGTCCTTTAATGTGACAAAGTACAGTTATGAGGAACTTATTATTTCCTTGAATATGTCCATGTTATGCCTCTTCCATACATTTCACAGGCAAATATTGTACTTTTCGTCCCACTACTTAAGTCTGGTAGCAACAGTATTAGCAACAATACTTCACAGAAAATACAATTATTTAAATCTAAAGAAATATGACATGCAATTTGAAGATGTGTTTGCATGGTGTGGCAGTAAGACTCATGACATTACATACAATATATATATATATAATTGTTATTATGTATGTGTACATAGGTAAGACTTTGAAAGATCACATTGTAGTATTTTTTTGCACTCATGCCACCATTGAGCCAACTCATATCTTGATTTACAATCTGTGTGCTGGTTATCACATGATGAGCCCTTCACGTATTGGAAATGACGGCCTTATCAAAATGGTCCGCCGGGGCAGACTGGGTAAATGAGGGTCAATGCCCTCACCTCTCCAACAGGAGAACTGGCAGGTGGGTCTCAGGTAAGACGTGACGTCACAATGATACTTTTGAACTCCTAGGCAGTAAATCTATAAAGGTGTGTAGTCTTACTGCACAGGTAGCCAAACCTTGGACTGAAGTGAAAACAGAGCTCCAGAGGCTGCAGGGATAAACAAGGAGGCCTAACATGCGCAGGTAGTTCGATTCGCCGAGGTCTAACGAGAGAGCCCCCTTACCTGTCGCACCAGGACACCGGCATGTACCCCAACTCGCAGTCGGCCAGACACCCGGCTCAAACACTTTCTTTGAACAGTCAGTACTTTCCGCCTCCGTATGACTTCACCGGGTTCCATCACGTCCCGGGAGTCGGGGACCCGTCGACAGGTGCCTGGAGCTCCATGTACCCTCCCCGGGAAGAGTACGCGTACAGCTTCCCGGGGTCAAGCCCCAGCAGCGCGGCGCAGGCCAGCTTCTCCTCCCCGGAGCTGAGCGGCACGCCCACCCATGCTGGAGGGGGGTCGTTCACCCCGTACAACTTCATCTCAGGACAGGAACCCTTCGGTCCCAAGAGGAGACCACATGAAACCGCTTCAGGTGAGACTTCAATACCTACCATGGCGCTATTAAGGCCTATTAAATGCTGTGTGATAATAGAACACTGTATTTGCCTATGATTAATAACCCATAAAAGATATCATCATCATCTTCATAGTCATCCATGTACTAATTAATAATACTACAATCATAAGACATAATTGAAACATGAAATGGGACACGCCAACAAGCTTCTAAAGCATTATATATCATTATTACTAATAGAATTGGGATAGTGCCTTTATTATTTAGAAACATTACCACTCTAAAAACATAATTTATACTTTAAAGAATTCAATTTTTAAACTAAAATAAATTTAAAAAAGTTGTGAACAAACATGTTGTGGTCTGCCTTGGATCACATCATATCTTCATTGGCCAGGAAATGTGACAGGAAAATCCTCTAGATAAAAAAGGTTCTCAAACTTTATAAAGCATTACTTTTTATAAGATAAGATACTTGTTTCAATTTCAAAATGATGACAAACTTAACCCCTGGAGTTCAGTGGGTGTTTAGATGACAGCAATAGTAAAACGCATATTCATAGACAGGAACACATTCAACACGTAGAGTAAAGTCAGACTGACTGCACACACACATTTATCATGATTTTTTCGCCTCTCCCTTCCGCCAGCATGGCTTGAGATGTCAAAGCAAAGCTAACAGTGGCGGCCGTGAAGTCTGGAGAAATGTCCCTCCCCACCCTCTCTGTCCACTGGGTGGGTGCAGAAGAGTGACAACTTAGATAACAGGTGCATTACAGGAACTCAGCCGAAAGCAACCAAATATCCTCCACGTGTGTGTGTGTGTGTGTGTGTGTGTGTGTGTGTGTGTGTGTGTGTGTGTGTGTGTGTGTGTGTGTGTGTGTGTGTGTGTGTGTGTGTGTGTGTGTGTGTGTGTGTGTGTGTGTCTGCCTTGATCGATGCTGTCACGTGGTCAAGATTTTCGATCAATAACTCTGACTCACCCTTTTCTTAAGAGTGTGTATGTGCGTATGAATAGCTGCCTGTGTAAACACCTATGTAAACACCACTCACAGGGATAAGGAGAGCCACTGATGCAATGCAGTGGGGAGTCTTTAGTTATAGTTAGCGTGATTAATAGAGTTGATGAGGCTTTAAGTGGCGCCTGAACTTGAACATGGCACCAGACGTCTTCAAGTTAGTCATCTGTTTGGACGTATGCACGTGACTCACTGACATTATCATGTTTTACTCACCTATTTATTTACATTCACTAAGTCAATCATCCACATTGTATTTATTGTTGAACTAAATCAGGGTTGTTTTGTGTGATTCAGGAACCAAGACTCGCACTAAGGACAAGTACCGGGTGGTTTACACTGACCAGCAACGCCTGGAGCTAGAGAAGGAGTTTCAGTTCAACCGCTACATCACCATGAGGAGGAAGACCGAGCTGTCATTGACATTAGGCCTCTCTGAGAGACAGGTGAGAGAGGAGTGAGTTTTCAGCTACTTAAATATAGAGGCTTCCTGTTGTTATCTGTTTGGTATCATACTGAACTTAATATGCTTGGGTTAAAAATGACTTTTAAAGGAAGTCACTTTGGACTTTAAGAAATTGGGATGTTCATTGTCATATTGTCTAAAACTTTAAAGACTATTAATTGATTTATTTCGAAAATAATCTGCAAATGTAATCGATAATACAAATAATAGTTAGTTGCAGCCCCAGTGTAGACAGACCGTCTTTCTGCAAACTCTATCGGCCGGGGAATGCTTTGAAAAAGGACCGAAAGACTTCCTTTATCCAACTATATAAATCTTAATGTACATAATTTGATATTTGAAAATGCAGCATAAGCTAGTGTTTATACCAGACCGAACAAACTGCAGCACCAACACCCTGGATGATACTGTTCTTCTTTCAAATTATACTTACTTTCAGTCTGAAGACTGGGTTGAAAACTAAAAAAACAAACGATCACAAGTAATTCAAAGGAACTTTAAGAAAGAAGGTCTATTTTTAGACACACAATCTAAGAAAATAAGCTTATTCTGTAGTACCCCCATGGTATGGCTATTGACAATGTAATTCCTAAAAAAACAGCTACTCTTACAGTACATTACATTTGGTCCATGTTTTTGCCTGGTGGTGTATTGTTTTTATTGCTATACATCCTTTAACAATCCCATTTGTAGACACCAGCTTTAGAATAAACCTCTTTAAACCATAATGTTATGTGGTCGAACAAAACATCTGATACAAGTAGTGTTAATATCCTTTATCTTGTCAAACCACTGTTGAGTGCAACAAAGTAATTCTAGGAAAGAAGGAAATTACTGAACTTGCTGCTCATTAACAGACATTAGTCTCCTTTTCATTGTCTTTGGATCAGCTCCAGACTTTAACAACACAAGTTTGAAACTTCTTCTTTAAGAGAGAGTAGGTCATCTTCTCATATATTGAATGAACTTTTCAAGTTGGTTCAAATAATATATTGGACTTATTAGTTTAGGTGATGTTTCCAGAAGTATAGAAAAATACAAACAAAAAGCTAAATCCAGTGCAAGTGGTCAAAGACAACACACTCGATAACAGCTAAAGACAGAAAATACAACTCAATAGAAAGTCAAAGAACACATCCTATTCCTAATCAATATGTTTTTGATCCTGAAATCCTAGGTGAAGATTTGGTTTCAGAACAGACGTGCCAAAGAGAGGAAGATAAACCGTAAGAAGCAGCAGAACTCTCAGCAGGCCTCCACAACCACCCCCAACCCGCCTGCTCAGGGTGGGCCCGCTGACTCCCACATCCCCACCAGCCCCAGCAGGAACATTTTGTCTGACACTATATCAGAGGAATACTAGGTGGATTTAATATGAAAGACTTATTCAGCATGAAATATGTACATAGCGTTGTTGTGTTTTATAATGTTACCACAGATTGAATGGCGATGATTCGCATCAACATGATGTCTTAATGCTGCACCTCATGCCTTTCACAATGACAAGCACTACATGTCTGTTGCACTGATCGTTTTTTGTGGGCTTCTCAAACCACTAGTCTTTAGCGTGTTCATATCATTTTTAGAACCACAATACTCAATTTAGGACAAGAGTCACTGAATATCCTTGCACTTGGGAAACGTGCAAACCATCTTTAAGAAAGGTTTTTTGGTTGATAAGTGACAATGCACTTATGGTCAAGTATCTGCTTCATGAGTAAGACAATAAGTGGAACGCTAAATCTGTTTAATTTGACTTCATTTAAGGAATTATGTCTCAAAATCTCTCTAGAGCGTTACAATTATAATGTGGCTTTTGACCAAATAAAAAGGGAATTACAATGATGCTTAATTTCTCTTCATTAGTTTGAATGAGCACAGAATGGAAAATAATGTGAAAGACGGGTAAAGCGTAAACGTGTGATGCCAATTTTCAACATCCCTTTAATGTTTCTGTTGAATTATTTATGCCGGATTTAACATGGGAATAGATCATTACAATTATAAACAAATGGGTTACATTAAGGGATGAGAAAGCAGCTGTATATGATGTAATGGAAAGGGTTGATGCACAGAAACATTAAGAAATGTGTCGTCAAACAAGTTTATGATGAAATGCAGTTAAAACCTTTTTACTTTTTACTTGAAGCAACTTGTTTAAAAATAGGCTGTTGAATAATTTGTTTGCCACTTCCTGAAAAACAGCTTCCACATGCGTTATGCTCTATCGACATTGCTTTGTCAGAGTATTTGAATTATAAAAGTCACTGCTTATCTAGTCTTTTGGGACCTACAGTATGTATGTATGCAAGGCCGGATTAGTACCTCCAGGGGCCCCTGGGCACTGAGCACTCATGCCCCCCCCCCCAAACCCACGTACCAACAAGTAACACCACGCCTACCCAATCCTACCAACATGACCAATATTTAGAATTTTCAGTCAATCTGGCATGTCAAATCGCACACCTATTTGTCAGAAGCAGGGACATAGCCACATAGTTCAACCAAAGTAGGTTTAGCCTTTTACCCTTTCAGTCAAAAATCACAAGACAAAGATACAATGGATAAGATCTCAAGACAGTGTATGGCTCATAATGTCTATTATATCTATAACTATGTATTATGTCTATAACTATGTAAATGTATCCTTTAAATATAATGTATGATGTCCTTTATTGTTTTATGTTTCATGTGGAACCTATATGCTGCAGGTCTCCCTTGAAAAAGAGATCTATGATCTCAATGGGACCAATCTGGTTAAATAAAGGTTTGAAATGAAAAAAATGAAAAGAAGACCTAGGTAATATCAATCAAAACCTCAGAACAGCACCCCACTTAATGCAAAAATATGACTGGCTGGCTGTACAAGTACACGAGGAGTTCTATTTGTCACAAACATCGAGAGTTACAAAAGTAAAATATGTAGTGAAATTGTGTGGTTGCTCAAGGGTGGGGCTGTGATTCGGCTATACACCCCCGCCGCGTAGTAATAAAGTTTAGCGCATACATAGTGAGACCTACAGTACAGAGACCTACAGTAATTGGACCCTATGGAAAAGCTGTGTTATTTATGGCGAAGAGTGAGTGTCATTTAAAACAATGTATGATGAGTGAGGTTGTGCCCAAAAAAAAAAAAATAAAAAGAATTTTTTTTTTTTTTATCTTGTCACTGAGGGCCCTCTTTGCTCAAGGGCCCCTGGGCACTTGCCCAGGTTGCCCATATGGTTAATCCGGCCTTGTATGTATGCAATGTTAAAGTATGAACTACATTTACATGTTAGCAAAACGAACACATGTTTAGATTTGTTTGTGTTAGTTAGATTTTCACTTAAAAAAAGGAAGGTAACTTATGTAGCATGTAAATGTACTGCTGACCACAGGTGGCTAGAGATTGCAAAAACAATCGTTTCGAAATGAAGTGTTATGCCACCAACTTTGTGCAACTCACCGTGTATTTATATACAATCATCGTGGTGCAGCGTCTTCTATTTCAGTAAATCACAATAGTGTCTTTGTATGTTCAAAAGTGAAGCCACGTCATGCCGAGTGCATTATGTTTTTTCCGTTCTTTAGCATTGATCTGTGTGTCCATCTGCTTTTTACTGCACAACTATCTGACACAATCACACACAGAAAATCTTCATGATGAGTTTTTACAGCTAATGAGGAAGTGTAACCTTTGTGAAAAGCTGTACCTGCCTACGACATGACTCAAAACTATTAAATTCATGGAATTACATGACGAGATGAACTGCGTTTTGTACCATAATTGTTTATTGAAACATACAATAATACAGGCTGTATTACAGGATGATCTTTTCAAAGAAACCTATATATCTCCAAACATCAATTTCTTTAATGAGCACTCTTCAACATTAACTATCTGTATGTACACATACCCAGTAAGTACTCTAACATCAATAATTTTGAATCACATGATTCTTTCTCTGTAAAAATAGGTAATACATTATTTGAATATGAAGTTATAAGTCAGCTTCAGTACATCTTCAATCAAAAGCTGACTTACCCATGATTAAACATTTGGCACCAACCACCAGTTTTGGTTTTGTAGTTACTGTCAATACATTTGGCATGCCAGGGTCACATGAATGGACATTAACTATATCACATGGTTTTTATGAGGGAAAATAAAAGTTTCATCGTGGTTCAACCAAATGTTATCCATCGTTTGGTTGCGCTGCGGCCTAATCTTTATTTTAACTATGTTATTCACATATTAAAAGCATTACAGGTGCAACAATACTCACTGACATCGATACGTTTTGGTATCTGTTCAATCATTGTATTGAACAAAGTCTTTCTGGCTGACAAACAGGACTGGATTGTTTGAGCAGTTTTATAACACTTCTTGTATGTTGTCAATTATTTGCTCAGAAGATTATGCCAGTCAGAAGTTCAACTGTGTTTCAACAAGAGGGTTAAACAAAAATAATCATCTCAGGGTTGTTTAAGGACGCTATCATGAACCATAAACACCAATTTTATGGCTCTATGGATCAGCTGAACGGTAGTGCCTGGTTGTTAACCTTTAACCTCAGGCTATCAAACCAAACCAAACCTGTAAACTCTCTCTTTGAAAAGAAAATATATCCTACATTAACATAGGAAAACATAGTTGATTATAGCCCTACTCACGCTATAAGAGCATAAGTAGGGCTTGAAGAAGGAGAAGCCTAACACATGAGACTCAGCTAGCTGAAGCCTTCCAATATTGAAATATTGATTCTGCCATTTTTGCTGTTTATGGTTACATCTTGTGCAGTCGAGCACACCCTCCGTTAGGTTGAAGCTGCCGAATGGTTAACTTGAGGCAGGAAAAACCAAACAAAGGTCTAGGGGGGAGGAGGGTTGGCCGCATGAGGGGCGGGGTAGCTAGATGAGCGTGTGCATTAGGGCAAAGTTACTTCAGAGAATCATGAGCGCATTGTGATGTGCCTTTATCTAATTGTTTTGGTAATGTCTATAGATGTTATTACGTATTCTTGTCAGAAAAATGGATGCATAATTAGGTGGTCAGAGCTAACCCCACCACTGCCAGGGCCAAATGCTATACAGGTTAAAATGTCTTAGCATTCTTGTCTGTTTTAAGTGTAACTGAGACATTTAGATTGGTTGAAATCAAAATATGGGTTGTTTTATGTGATTAAAGCAACCTATTGAAGGGTCAAGTTTGTCGCTCTCACGCCTGTACGGCGGCTCCCCCTTAGATGCTCATACAGGCTAAAGAGAACGATAAGGGGCCGCCTCTCTTACAGTACTGTTTTACTGTGCCTTGCTCATGGCACAGAATGAATACGAAAATGATGTTAGACATAGAAGAGAATGTGACAGGTTAGAAATTACAAAAGTACAATACAATGGACGTTGAATATTTAAACAGACTTACATTTTTTATAAAGACATATTGTTACTCTCCTCGTCTATTAAATAATTGATATATATAGGAGCTCCTTTAGTTTATATTATATATGTGTCTGTTTTTGATTAATATTATCACAACGCTACGCCGCGACGATGAAACATAACACATCTTTTAATACTATCTATCAGTCTATTTGATACATATTTTGTTGTCGTTCTGCGCTTTATAAAATAGAACCAAAGAAAAAAAGGACAAGCCGCTGATGATATGTATACTAAGTGTTCGGTGTTAAAAAGATATAACACCGCGCTCGTACTGAGATGTACATATAAGGGGTGGCCTCCATGTCTTATCAGTTGCGGTTCTACTTTTAAGTGTGTGCATAGGAGTGCCATACAATCCATATATTTTAAAAGGTTTGACATCCTACAGTATCAAGAAACACTGAACAACACACACACACACACACACACACACACACACACACACACACACACACACACACAAACANGTCTCTGAGGTTGCTCAGTTTCTTATCAGTGCTTACTTTGTTGTAGGAGTGCAACATCCTATTTTAAAAGGTTTGACATCCTACAGTATCAAGAAACACTGAACAACACACACACACACACACACACACACACACACACACACACACACACACTATAGTGACAGGCATGACTGTATGCCATCTACATCGAATAAGTGACAAACAAGAACAATTCCCCAATTTGACTGCACATAAGAGTAGGCAGCACTACAGTACACATCTGACACTTTCATTTCACTGTTAGGCTGTTTCAGCATGATGCAACATGGGTAATACCTCTGCAGACAATCTTGTCGGACTGACCATGCATCATCTGAGAAAAAAGCAGAAGAGCTTACAAGGAAACTAATCTGTGGTTGCTTCAGACTGCCTTATACGTGACATTTCTCTGCAAACTAAACTTATCTCATTGCAAGCGAGCCAAAGGAAGATAACACCGTCACATTTAGAGATTAACTCCCCCAACGCACCAAACTACCAACACAAGCATGCTCAGGCTATCAGCTTGTCTATGAAACAGTTACTACATATACCTGGCAAGGTTTTAAAAATGAACACACAGCTCGATAAGATGTAATGTAATCATTTATTGATGACAAATGTTCTTTCTTCCTTCGAGAAAGACAGTTTTTCAGCAAAAATGAGGAGTCATTGCCATAATGTGTGCAAATGAGGAAGTGGTTATTCCGAGCGGTGCGCTTGCCTGCCACTTATTGCAGGGTTATATAACTAAATGCATTGTAAAGGCAAAATTATATTAGTATTATTTTAAATGTACAGTTGGTCAACAATGTATTAAAAAAGTGAACATGCTCATGAATTAGAAACAAGCATAAACATAACGCAAAGATTGTTGCAATATTGGATAATGTTATCTAAAACCACAATTAAAATGCTTTTGAAATCAAACAAGGAATTTTAAATAAACCACAGAAGCATAACAATAATAATAATATCTATGAATGAAAATAAAATGTGTATTTACATTAAAAGAACCCGCATCCTATGAATGTATTTCAACTTTAAACAGGCTTCTGGCGGAGGTCCCTATAGACTGTACAAGAGAAACACATCACAGCAAAATGTTGACCTGTATCTTGTCAAAACATCATTAGGTGTATCATTTATTTATTCTGAAGAAATAAAGGAATATCATTATTAATATTATAAGGATTATTATTGCAGGATTTTGTTTTTTAATACATCGGTGCAGTCTTTGTCAAATGAATGAACTCTGGGAATCACCTGCCTCTTCGCACCTTGGCGTACACACATTCCTCTCCTGCGGGATCAGCCGTCAGCCGAGGTCGCTCTGAGAACTTGACCTGGCCGTACTCCACCTCCGGCTCGGCCCTCTGCTGGACCTGCCGCCCCGACCGCTGCTTGATCTTGACAACAGCATAGGTCAACTCCTGTTCATCTTCATCTGCAGAGTGAATACATAAACAACACAATCATGTTAAAGGTCACCTATTATGCAAAATCCACTTTTTCATGTCTTTCATACATAAACATGTGTCCCCTCTGCGTAAAGAGATTCTGAAAGTTTTAGGAACAAAGATTCCCTCTCTTTTTATATAAAAAACCTGTCTGAAAATGAGCTGATCAGATTTTAGCAACTTTATGATGTCATAACGATTTTTGGCTTGTGTAACCATTAGCCAATCACCAACCAAGGTAACACCCGCCCACCTTATCACCTGGCCGTGGGGAGGGGCTCCTTATTTTCATCTAAAGTAACAGACAGAGAATCAGCACTATAGGGGGGTATAAAGTCAGCAGTCGGACTGGGAGCCGTAGTGTCACTGGTTCAAGTCACCGAACAGAGTTCAAATATGGAGTGTGGACTGGTACTTGGAGAGGTCCCAGTTCACCTCCTGGGCCCTGCCGCAGTGCCCTTGAGCAAGGCACCGGACCCCCCCCTCCCCATTGCTTCCCGGGCGCTGTACAATAGCTGCCCACTGCTCCTACTACTTGGATGGGTAAAAAACAGAGACCAAATGTCACTGTGTGTGCTGTGTAGCTACATGTATGTGTGACCAATAAAGAGGGCTTCATCCTCCAATTCTATGTATCTATTCTATCTATTGTCTCTCTGTTCCATGAACCATCCAGGCAAAGTTTGGTTTTTACCTCGCCGGCTACACACACTTTACACTCACCCTTACATGTTGTCACTTTAATAAATGCAGGGCTAACCACTGTCCCCTCTTGTTGCACTCCTTGAGCCGGTTTGTGGCAGTAATATTGATGTTATGGTATAATAGTATGTCAGTCACAGGGGACATGTTTCTGCATTGATTACTTTTACCTTTTAATGCTTTAAGTAAACCTTCCTGATTATACTTACGTCGGGTTCACTAAAGTAAAGGATGTAATACTTCCAACACTACAGGGTGTTTGTACAGTTGGTTAAAAATATTGTTTATTTTTTGTTATTTACCTACCAATATGTGTATGTTTTTCTCGTCAAGTTTCCAAAGTGGTCTCAATGTTATTATCTTATTCTCGGGCAAGAAACAAATTAGGCTACTTGTAATGCCAAAAATGTCAAACTGTTTGTTGCATTTATAAATACAGAAATAAATTGTGAATGCAGCGATGTGTAAGAAAAAAGGAAGTTGTGTTCTGTACCATTGGGCTGGTTGCTTCTTTTTTTTCTCTGAGCACAGACGACAGCCACCCCGACCACCAACAGAAGAACCAGTGCAGAGAGAACACCGGCCATTATTGGCCATTTTTCTGTTTCAACAACGAGACACAAGATATTTAAATATCAGGCAATCACTACAGGTGTTTTATGGAGACACACAAACAAAAAAGGGGGGAATTACTTTAATAATCCATTGTTGCAGTGTTAGTTGTCACTTACTAATGTACCATGGTTCATCTTCAGAGAGGGGGGTCACAGTTTGATTCCAGGATGTGATGTTAGTGCAGGGGTTAATTGACACTGTACTCTCCTTACCCGCAGTGGAGGAATCTGGGATGGTGGTAGGAGATGATGTTGTTGGTTCAACACACAGCGTATTGTTGGCTGCAAACACCCACTGTGATATCTGTGTCCCATTTGAGGTGCAGTTAATGAATATGAAGCCTGTGGGAAAGAATCAGATACATGACTGATGTGCAGTTAATCATCCATGTCTTATTCATCAAACTGTTTAGACTCATCTTCTCACCACAGTTAGAGATCTCCTCTCCTTGAGAGACCTTGCTGACGTTATTCCTGACGGAGCAGGCCAATGCTCCTGAGACGTGTTGTCTCAGAGTGAAGCATCACTCTGAGACAACACGTCTCAGGAGCATTGGCCTGCTCCGTCAGGAATAACGTCAGCAAGGTCTCTCAAGGAGAGGAGATCTCTAACTGTGGTGAGAANCACACACACACACACACACACACACACACACACACACACACACACACACACACACACACACACACACTGTATAAAACAGATGGAATGCTGGCAAAAAGTTTCAACATGTGCAGTATATTTTCTTCCTCCCTCAACATCCCCATCTGTGCCTCCATCTGGCCGGGGCAGTTAGACAGTGAGCAGCAGCGACAGCCTATTTGTCATAAACTGAGTGTTTCAATTTAATGGCAGCAGGTCATGGTGTTTGTCCTCCACTGTGCGCTCATTAACACTTATTTAACAGCCATTATAGCACTGTCACAGCACCTTCTGTCACAAACCAGCTGATAAACATACACACTCTGCTGTCGAACAAAGATACAGACACCTGAATCTTCAATTAAGGCTTTTCATTGACTCGTATCTAGGGAATCAGGTCCGCACACCGTCTGAAGTTTCCCTTAAACGCATGTAGCACACAACAAGAGAATGTCTATGTCAGAATTATCTCACTTAAGCTTAAGATATACTTACTTTTATCCATGTCTGTGCGCATGGTGACTGTTAAACACCTGCACTTTTCAAAGAACATCCATAACATTCATCTGATTGCAACTTATATATATCAATGTTCCAATTACTTGTATATAGACTGTTCTGCACTATTTCTATTCTATTTTATTTTATTTACTTTACCTGTGACCTAAGAATGTCATAACTAAACTGTAGCTATTTACAAATGACAATAAAAGCCTTGAATCCTTGAAAATGGCGTTACCTTGAGTATCATACAAGCATTTGGATTGTCGGTTGTGCCCGTCCTCAGAATTTGACGCAACAAAAGCACGTGGTAAAAAGGAAATCTCTGGCCTTGAAATAGTCTCGGTTTATGCAATGGTTAGCTCCTGGGTTTTATTGTATTTTAAGCATGTTTTACTTTCATTGTTATTCTCTTGGCTTATTACAGTTTTTCTCAATCGCTAAACCCACTATTTAGAATCAAAATTCCTTTCATCAAACCAACAGCACAGCCATCGAAAGACAAGCAGAAAACGCTCATTCTCTACAACATATAACGCATGTTATCATTGATATGCCACCATAAAATGCAGATGCTACAGCAGTGTTTTGGCAAAGCACGATCACACACTCCGTCTAAGCGAAGTTACACATCTCTACACAGACACATCAAAAATCTTTTGTGAAACGGCTCATGTCTAGCAAAACAAATATCTTCTCAAAGCAGTGGATAACACTTAGCTCCTCTCAAACTTAGACCATAGCTACCAGCTAATTGACACTTGATGTGCAGAATATGAACCTTGTTATGCAGTCAATGCACCGCACATTGAAAAAGGTAACTGGGCATGGACATGTAGCTGTATAGGCTTACAGTAAATGATGCTCAGCGTCCCTGCGTAATGGGGCATATACACCGGCAACTGTCTTGCGGCGCTGGATGTTCCTGATTGACCGACTTGTGCCACGCAGCAAGAGAGGGATCACAAGTGAGGTCGGCTTACACGTGTCATAGGGAGCAATGTGGGCATTCCAGCGCACTCTCGGAGGCGTGAGGTTCATGTTGAGGCTCATCCACACATGGCCATGGAGTTCCTCGCCTCCCATACTCCCCAATTTCCTAAACCCCGCAATGAGGAGTTTCTTCTCTGGGGCGCTGGAGATGGAAGGTTTATGACCATCATCCTCATGACAGAGGCCCCTTTTCCGGACGGCAATGAATGCTGGCTGTCGGGACATCTCTGCGGATCCTTCAACGGGTGGTGTCGACCGCAAGGAGATATAGGCGCGGCACGCTGCGCTTTCAAGGAAGACATACGGCTGTGAGTAGATGAGGCTATGTGGCCAGACAGACGCCAAAGGAGCAATC